GCTAAGTGACTTCCAGGTTTGGTCACTGTCCAAGATGCCAGTCCTTTCCAGCTCAGGCAGCACTCCAGGGAGACCCAAGGCCCTCAGAACATCTCAGAAAAGTCCCGGGGTCCCTTTCTGAAGGTGGTAGGAACCTAGTGAGGCTCCGGTGGCCCAGAGAAACCACCCAGGGGCTTTGCTGTGGCCTCAGCCGGAAAGCAAAAGGGTGAAGGTCCTGCTGTGTGTCTCCAAACGAGACCCTCAACCTTTCGGGGCCCCCACGTCTTCGCAGTTGCAGGAGGCTCGGGAGTCGCGAAGGTCATGGAGGGTTTATATGTTTCCTTCTCAATAAATATTTTGACACTGTTCTAGATGCCAGCAAGACAGCAGAAAACAAGACACTGCCCCCAGGAGGCTTCCACCCTCTCTTATCCTGCTTCCCTGTGAAACGGAGATGATGACAGTCCCCACTTCACGGAGTTGTTGCAAGGATTAGATAAATTCATATCTGCGGGGCGCCTGGGTGGCTCAGTCGGTTGAGCATCCGACTTCAGGTCATGATCTCACGGTAACGTGGGCTCGAGCCCCACTTGCGCTGACAGCTTAGAGCCTGGAGCCTGCTTTGGATGCTGTGTCTCCCTCTCTCTCTCTCCCCTTCCCCTACTCACACTCTGTCTCTGTCTCTGTCTCTGCCTCTCTCTCTCTCAAACATAAACATCTTTAAAAAATAAAATAAGTTCATATATGTAAAGAGCTTAGTATGGGGCCTGGCGCTTGCCAAGTGCCCCACAAACACTCAGGATTATTAGTAGCAGTGGCACCTGTCACCGGGTCACAAGGATTAGATGAGATAGTATAAGTAAAGCACTTAGGGTGAGGCTGGCCTTGCAGCAAGTGTGAAAATACCAGCTATTTCCTCAAATGGAAGCCAATATCACCAGCCCATGCCACGGAGGAGGGAACGGAAGCAGGAGGAGCTCGGTGGCTTGCCCACAGTTTTATTCTGGTTAGCGGAAAGGGGTCTTAAACACACGCCAATTCGGGATTTCTCGACCCCAGCACACTTGGGGCTGGGGAGTTCTGTGTCGTGGGGGCTGGCCTGTGCCTTGGAGGATGTTCACCAGCATCCCTGGCCCCCACCCAGCAGATGCCAGTAGCGCTACCCTCCCCGCTGCGTGTTGACAACCAGAAACGTCTCCAGACACAGCCAAATGTCGCCTGGAAGGCAGAGTTGCCCCCGTTGAGAAGCTTTTCTAAATCAACCCTTGGGCTCATTCAAGGACTTTCAGGATCTGACCCAAAGCCCCCTCCTCCAACCCTGGCACCACCAGAAATGCCTCGCTCCACCAATACCCAGAGGACCTTTCTCAAGCAGATCTCCCAGCTTGCCAGTCCCCATCCTGCTGCGTCTTCCCTACACCAAGACTGCCTTTTCCGTCCCCAGCCCCATCTCCCAGGCCCTGCCAAAGCCCACCTGCTCCCTGAATGCCCCCTCCCCAGCCCAGAACTCACTATTTCCTGCCCAGCTCTCTGCCTGGAACTATAACTAGTCATGACCGCGACTGGCCCTGCCTGCTTCCTGGCCCCGCCCCCCACCCTCAACTCCAGACAGAAGCACCTTGAGGGCAGGGGGGGCTGTGCCTTACTCATCCATGTGTCCGAAGCACCCAGCCCCGGGCCAGGCCCACCAGGCTGGCTCACTGCTCTGTGTACCTGGTGTGTCACAGATGTGACTGGTGCCCAAACAAACTCCTGGGGCTGGTAAAAGGCCTTCAGCCTAGGGAGACAACGTGGCATCCCACTTAGGAGTCAGTAAGCTTCTGAGGACTGACTGAGCACAGGTTACTCCAACCCTCGAGGCGTCGCTTTCTTCATAGGTGAAATGGGGATAATTTACAGTGACCCTGATTGATAGGATCTCGGTGAGAACTCAGGGCTCCTGACTCCTCCTCCAGTGCTCTCTTTGGTTCCAGGACAAGGATTCCCAGGGTAAGGTGGGAGAAGGTGGGAAGCCCCTGCCCTGAGCTCCCGTGGGGGCCTGACATTGGAACTTCTTGGATATGGAAGACAGGGCCCGGCTGCAAACCAGGATGTGAAAAAGCCACAAGGATCAGGAGGGCGGAGGCAGGCGGGAGGCCGCTGGGGAGGCCGCCAGTCACAGTAAATAATTCACACAGATGAACTGGAGATAAGAGCGGCTTCGCGGGGGATTGAGTTCAGGTCAGAGGAGGCGCAGAAGGCTGCAGGGGACCTGTGGTCTCCCGGCTGAGAGGGGAGCACCAATGTGGCTCCGTCTGCGGGGGGGGGCGGGGGGGGGGGGGGGAGGGCGGAAAACGCGGCCCCAGGTGCCAGCTCGGGCCACTCCCTGCCACCGGCTGGGGCTCCCCGGAACTGCCCCACGGGGCACCCAGCCCCCGCCTGCCGCCTCCGTGGGCCGTCCCCATGGCAACCGCTGGCCTGGTCCAGGGTTCACGGCCAACCGGATCCTCAGCCTCCCCTCCCCCACGGGAGCATGGGCGGTTGGGGCTGTGCCCTGGGTTGGGCCACAGAGGGCTGCAAGTAGCCTAGTCCGACCCCCTTCTCATTCTGGAGGAGGCGAAACCAGGGACTCTGGGGGTCAGCGTCCACCTGTCGCCTGGAGGTCTCAGTCGCAGCTTCCAGACTTTCCAGCTGGGCTACCACAGGCAGAAGATTCCCAGCTCTGTGCCTCGGTTTCCCTTAGCTGTAAAATGGGGATAATAGTGACTACCTCCTTGGGTTGTGAAAATTAAGCGATATAAATGCAAAGAGTGTAGAACGGTTACCGGTGAGCGCCTCATAAATAGTATTTCCACAGTGGGAAATGGAGCCCCAGAGGAGCAAAATACCTGTGAACGGTCAGGGGTCAGGGTCACACATGCCAGCACGGTATTGGCACATTCAGGATTGGAATGCTATTGTCAGTCCTTTCTAAGACACCTACCGCCGAGGCTGGCAGCATACTTTTGGGGTTCCCCAAGAGTTTCCCAAGTTTCCTGTGGGACCACCCCCCCTTTCCCAACATCCCGAAGCTACACTATTATCAAAGGGTTGTTGGCCAGAGAGTGAGGTCCCAGAAGGCGACAGGAAGCCTCATGTTGGCCAGCTCTGTCTCCCCCGCGCCAAGCACGGTACCCATTCCACCCCACCCCCATCCCTAGCAGGGGAGTCCTTAAACGAATGCAGATTTAGTTCATTAATTAGTTCATTTCCACTGCCCAAACACCCTCCCAGACCAAGCCCCTTATGACCTTAGCCATTCAGCTGTCTGCCTTATGGAACACCCCTTGCCCTGACAACTTCCTGCCATCCCTGTCTGTCCCCCATCTGCCCAGCCCCCATCGCCACTCTGTTAGGATTTCCCATGGCACACTTCCCAGATCCTTCTCCTCCCTTCAGCCCGGCCTCCCCGACCTCCCTTTCCCTCTGGTGACCCTTTGTCCTCAAACAGCTGTTTCTGGGTCAAGGACCTTCCTCCAGGCCCCTGGGTGTGCACGGCCCCGGGTTAAGGACAAACCCTCCAATGTGAGAGGTAACAAGAAAAACCAAATCCTCCTCACAGAATGGTGGGGTGGGGGGGGGGGGGGGACCGAGGTGGGGCTATCTCTCGGGGACTTTGGGTTCTGCTGGAGAACAGGCTGGGGCCCATAGACACAGTCTCTCTGTCCCTAGGGGCCACCCCACAAGCTCCAGCCCAGCTGCCAGGTTTCCCCGGATACAGCCCGGTCCTCGGATTTATTTTTGCATATGGTTTGAGAGAATCTCTGTTGCTGGAATGATGACAACATTTTTTTCCCCTTCTGCTTCCCTCCAATAGGCAGATTCTATAAACCAGAGCAGCTGCCTGAGGCTTCCAAGAGAAAATTCTGCACAGTTTCTAACCAGGGTGACAGTTCCCCTCCACAGGAAGTTGCTTTTATTAAGATTGCTGGGTTGTTTTTTTTTTTTTTTTTTTTTAATCTGTTTTTTTGGTAAGGCTCCATCTATCGGTCATCAGGCAGCACCTTGGGCCTTGTGGGCATTTTTGTTTTTCCCCGGTTTGCCTGGAATCCATGATTACATCTAAACCACAGTGCGCTTGCCCAACACAGGGGCAACGTTGAACGGCTGAGAAGTGGGTCATTCACATGACCTGGGCAGAAGGATCCCAAGTAATTTATGGAGATACTCCCATACCAAATTACTCCCCACACCTTGAGTGGGCTACACATGATGATTTCCTTCCAGAGAGGACAGTATGGAAAGGAGGTGGGGGAGTAACTTTGCAGTGGAGAAACCTAACAAATGCCAGCTCAGTCAAGTGATCAAGGTCAATATCCACGGTGATTAAGTCATGTTGATAGCATGTACTCTTAATATGATGTGATGAGAAGGGCACTTTATCTCCAAGGTCTTCCTCCCCAACCCCATAACCCCAGCTGAACCATGAGAAAAACATCTGACAAAACCCCCAGTTGAGGGGCAGTCTACAAAATACCTAACCAGTACTCTATCAAAAACAAGGAGAGTCTGAGAAAGTATCACGGAGTTTAAGGGGACACGAAGACTAAATGTAATGTCCTGGATGGGGTCCTGCAAAACAAAAGGGATGTTAGGTACACAGTCAATGAAATCTGAATGAATTATGGAGTTTCATTAATAGTAAAATACCAGTGTTGGTTCCTTAGCTTCCAGAAATGTAGCACAGTAATGTCAGATATTAACAATAGGAGAAAGTGGGTCAGGGGTATTGACAACTCTGTGCTAGGTTCACCACTTTTCTGTGAATCTAAAACTATTCTCAAGTAAAAGTTTATTTTTTAGGGGCACCTCGGTGGCTCAGTCGGTTAAGCAACCGACTTCGGCTCAGGTCATGATCTCACAGTTCGTGAGTTTGAGCCCCGCGTCAGGCTCCGTGCTGACAGCTCAGAACCTGGAGCCTGCTTCCGATTCTGTGTCTCCCTCTCTCTCTCTGCTCCTCCCCTGCTCACATGCTATCTCTCTCTCAAAAATAAATAAAGATTAAAAAAATTTTTTTTAAGTTTATTTTTTTAAAAAGGGGGCCCCATGTTTGGGTTTCAGGCAACCCCCAAGACCCAGTTCTCCTTGGCTCCCTCTTTTTGCCTGTACACAGGGTCTGAGCTGCTGACTTTGATGGTACCCGGGCCCAACCTCATTTCCTTGGAGCTGTCATTTTCAAGCCCAAGGATAACTCCCATTTCCTCACTATTGTGTTCTCAGTGTCCGGTCCATAGCGGGTGCCAGTTCATATTTGTCAAATGAATGAAACTTGAGGACTCATCGGAGGAGAAGATCCAAGCAGAGAGCCATGTTCTTCCCTTCCCAGGGCAAGAAGTCAGCACCTGCTAGCTCCCATCCCGAGAATGGCTTCAGGCAATCTGGTTAGAAGTGGGTAAGAGACATCTCTTAACACGGCCTTTGGAGAACAAGCATTCACATTTACTTACGATTGCATTTATTGGGGGTTTTGAGGAGCTGATAGATAATAGGCAGGCAGACTCTTCCAAACTGCTCCCCATCCCGCCGCTCCCCAACCCCACAGTGGTGCCTCCACTGCCCCCTCGGTACCCCCAAAGGGCACTTCTACAAAGACACTTCATGCAACAAGATCTGTTTGCTAGGTTTTGAAAGTCCGTTACCTGGCACACAGTAGGCACTTCATATGCATTCGTATTGACGACTACTATTTATTATGCACCAGGCTCTATGTGGGGGAGAGGGAGGGGTTCCCATTTAATCCTCTGTTGGTAGGCATTACCATCACCCCCATTTCACAGAAAAGCTTGACAAACTGGCCCCACATGACAACTAGGAAGTATAGGGGAGAGGTTTCAAATCCAAGCCAGGCAAGACCCAAATCCTTGCCCTTTGCTCCAACACCAGCCACCTTAATAATACCTGGCCCCTTCCACTGGGCCCAGGATCTGCTCCCTGCTGTCCGAAGAGGCCTCCAGACGGCAGCAGTGTTCGAGTCTCTTTTTTTTTAAAACTCAATTTGCCAATTTCCCCCTTAGAGGTACTTTTTGGCATTCCTCCGGGCCCTCAGCCTGGACTGGCCACGGAAGCAGAATCCAGGGAGATGGACACTTATTACAAGCATTCAATTAGTGAAGTTTGAATAATGCCGTCCTGGCTGCTGGATCGATGCATGGAGGCTTAGAGACACCTTCCCCACCTTGGACTTGCAATGGCCTTTTCCGTATTTATTGCCACCTAACCGGATACTTCAAACATATTCTGCACTTGGTATAGTTTGATAGCTGCCCAGTCCCCAAAGTGCCTTCTCAACAAATGTTTACCCCCATGTTAGAGTATATTTAAAAGATTTATATTCCCTTTTACTGAATGGAGTCCTCGGGAAAGACAGACTCTGTCTTCCCCCGAGCAGAGGATCCTGCCTTGGCTGACGGGGTGGCCTCCAGCAAGAACATTTTAATACATCACTTATTACAATGGACCCAGAGCCTTGGCCGAGGACTCCCGGGCTCCCCCCACCCCTTCCCAGAAGAGGGCAGCTCCAGGCCTTTGCTGACACATCCAAGCCCTGCCTCCCTTCTGACCCCTTCCGCAGTCGTCTGTTGTGCAGAATAGCAGAGAACATAACCTCAAAACAGTGAACCAACACAAGGATCTTTAAGGCTGAAGGACCACGGCTGCAGCTGGGACGGAGCCTGGGTCTGGGGCCAGACCACTGTGCATCCCCGTCCCGGAGTGTATGGGCTCTGGGTTCTACTCCTGCCTAGCCTACTTACTAGCTGAGTGACCCTGTGCAAGGTAGTGAACATCTCTGAGCCCCCTTTTCTCCTGTACAGTCAAGGTGAGATTAACACCTGCTTCCTAGGGCTATTGTGAGCCTGGCATGCAGTAAAAGCTCAATGAATGTAGTTGTCCTGTGGTCCTTTTAGGCCCTCTGGGCCATCGATTTCTTCACCTACCAGAGAGTTCATCGCTGTGGGTTTCCAGGGTTTCTGGGCTGATTCCGTGACAGAATAGAAGGGAAGCAATGTAATTGCCCAGTGCTTTGATCAGGGAAGCAGCAGTTACTCCTGGTATGGACAGAGACGTGCCTTTGGGATGAATCTTTGCATAGGGCCCCTGCCCCTCCTGGCAGATGGAGGCAGAACGGAAAAAGTGGGCCCTGCCCCTAACTCCTGATGCTGCGCCATTCGACCTTCTGATGGGAAAAGCACAGGGGAAAAGAGAGGCGGGCTCTGTGGTACCTAAAGGCCCATCAGCTCCAAAACGCGGGGACTCTCCGGGGTTGGCAACAGAGAGAGCCACGTTCAAGACCAGGGTTGTGCGCCTGGGAAAATCAAGCTAGCACCCCTGATCATCCTGCTGGTGCCACCAGCCCCGGCTCGCCCACTGTTCCTACCAGTGACTGATGGGCTGTCCAGCTCTGTTGGGCCCTCCTGAGGCTCAAGGCCCACACTGCCTGGGAAGGGGGATGAGACCTCACTCCCTCCCCCACAGGCCCTCCAGAGCCCCCCCTTTCCCCCCACCGCCACCACCCTGGGGCCTGTCTTACCTGATGTCTGAGTCACAATCAGGCTCCTGTCACTGTGAGCTGTGTTGTGACTCCCTGGCTGACAGTTTTACAACAAACACATTAAAAGCTCCCAGCACTGAGGCTCCTGGATGCAGAACAGCCCAGGAGAAAAACCTCTCCAGGCCTTTCTTCAGCCAAAATCCTTCTCCCAACCCTTCCTCCCACATGGCCCCCCTCTACCACCATTAACTGCTCCAGAGCCCCACAAGGGATTGAGATTTTTTTTTCATCATGAGCTTTTTCTCAAGTGGTGACTCGGGGAAGCCGGAGACCTACCAGGCTGTGGGCCTCTGAAGTTGGGGCTCATCCCTCATATGGTGACCTGTGAACTCTGCAGTGAAGTCAAAGGTATGTAGTCCCTCCTCAACCCAGCTTCTGAGGACAAGTGGCCCTTTGGTGAAGCATTATATGGACACACAGTGGCCCGACCCGGAGTGCTACCAACGTCCCTCCCACAACCTTATGAGGCAGGCCCTGCATTATCCCCACCCCACAGACTTGGAAACTGAGGCTTCCGGAAGCGAGGAGACTTGCTCAAGTCCATACAGCTGGGAAGTGAAGGAATTGGGATTTTAATCCAAGCCCGCCAGCCTCTAAACATTGCTTTTAAACAAGACTGACGGCCTCCCAACTCACAAGACCTCGTTCTCTGCACACCCCACAAGGGATGGCAGAAACCTCAGGAAGCAGGGAGACCAATGCAAATCCAAATGGAATAAGCTCTCCCTTGGGCGACGGCCCTGCCAGTGCACTGTCTTTCCTGCCATCTGCGCCCAACCCACACTGTCCTCCATACCGCCTCGCCGACCAAAGCTACCCTTCCCTCGTCTGCAGCCGGCAGACAGAAAGCAAATCTCCCCCACCCCTCCCGACCAAAGCAGAGACAAGAGAGGAGTGAGACACAGGAACAGTTCTTTTATTGTACATTGGAGAAATAGCCCTGTGTGCTGGTTAAAGGTGCAACATCCAGAATATCGAGTTAAGAAAAGAGGGAACAGGGCAGGGAAGAAACCTCTTGAGGTCCAAAGTTGCAAACAAAAAGTGGTAAAAGATTTCCTCACACAAGAGGCGTTTTTGCAAATACCATGCAAAACAGGCAGCTGGTGTGCCTTAAGAGAACCCCTATAAATAACAGAAAAGACTCTCCAAGCATTCCTTAACGTGGACTCAGAGCACAGGGAAAAAGAAAGAAACCAAAATGCCTTTTGGCATTTCAAGATATTTGGCACTCTTGTGATTACATTTTTTTTTACAGCCCATCGAAGAGAATAAACTGACACAATATTAGAGAGAAAAAACAGGCTGCTCACACAACAGACTGCAGGAAGAGGTTAGAAAAAGCTCAAGCATTTTTTTTTCTTTGTTTTTGTGTGTTTTTTTTTTCCTGACATATAAAATGTGTCCATTTGCATTAACTTGGGCAAATAGCTTGCAGCAACAGAGAAACACAAGCTTTACAAGTCATTTTAAAGTAAGACAAGGATTCAGTCTAGGTATCATTCCTTAGAAAAGTTCTCTTCTTGTTTTAAACACATTCCTGGTAACTTCAAAAGATGACCAAAAATAAAACAATATCTATAGAGATCATTTGCTGATTTTTTTTTCTTGTACATCCAAGGAGAACAACATAAAAAAAAGAAAACTGGACAGCATTTCACATCCAAGTGCACAGAACCATTTTTGCAAGATTAAATAATGTAAACATTGGGAACAGCCAAATCAGCGAACAATGCCAACATTCAAAACACCCGGTGTTGCCGCTTCATTATTTAAGTGGCTCAAAATCCAGATCTATAATTGTGCAATATTCACTGTATATAAAAAGAAATAGATATTACTTTTGACAAGTAGCTGCAACTGAGACGTCTTTTTTATTTCTTTATATGTGTGTATAGAGTGATTTTTAAATTTTAAATTTTTTTTTTTTAATTTTTGTTTTTGCTGAGGAGCCCAGAGCCTTCTCCTCCTCCTTCTCCCGCCTCATCTGTCTCCCGGCCTGACGCGAGATACAGGTTGCTGATTTCATCGTGGGTCGCAAGCTAGTAATAAATTTCAAAGTGCTTTCTCTTTTCATGCGTTTTGCCAATGACTGTTACCGCCGCTCTTATTCTCTCCCTTTAACTCATTGTCTTTTGGGGGGGGGGGGTTAGACACCAGGAGGTGCCTTGTCTGTCATATTTTTCAGCACGTCATCAATCCTATCATCTTCAATAACAACTGCAAAAAAAGGGGAGAAAAGGAGACGTGAGCGCGCCTGGGCCTCGCGGGGGGCGGGGGTGGGGGTGGGGGGCGGGGGTGGTCTCCGACGTTTCCCATGGCTCCTGGGGACGGGGAAATGCGGGAGGGCGAAGGAGGGGGCGCTCCTCCAGCGCTAACACAGCCCCATCCTCCTCGGCCTGGGCCCGGGGACCCTGTGCTGCTTCCCTCCGAACCACTCCCCCCGAGCCGCTCGCTGCGTCCCGGCAGCGTTCTGAGAAAAGGCAGCAGAGAGGGCGCAAATCCCGCAGGCCGGGCCGCGGCCGAAACGCGCTCTGGCCGCGCGTCCTCACCCCACCTCACCTCTCCCCGGGCGCGTTTATTTAGAAAAAAAAGGCTCCGGGGCTGGAGAGGGTGGGGAGGCGGAGCCCAGGTCTCCGGCTCAAGGACCCTCGGGAGTGCCCCGAGCGCGGCGCGGGCGGCCAAGGTTCTGGGTGCGGGGTGCAAGGGAGGACTCCGGGGACCACAGCGCGCGGCGGGTCAGGGGTCTGGCCTCGCCAGGGCGGGCGGCCCCTCCTGCGCGCCCCCTCCGCGGAGGTCGGAGCCTCCCCGCGAGGCCGGCCTCCCGCCGGCTCCGCCGCCTCGCTCACCATCTCTACCTAGCCTCGCCTTCCTCAGTCCCGCCATCAGTCTGTCTCTCGGCGTGGCCGTCACCTGTCGGGGTCTCTGAGTCTCTCTCCATCTGGGGTGTCGGTCGCCCTCATTGTTTCAGCTGCTTTCCTGTCCTCCCCAGACTGGCGTCCCCTGCTCGCGGTCTCTCCCGCTCTGGCTCCCTCTCCGGAGCTTTGTCTCGGTCTCTGCCCCTCTCGGTGTGGGGGGGGGGGGGGGGGGGGGGGGGGGGGGGGGGGGGGGGGG